GGGGTCTTGGGAGGATCCGTTTCGAGGATGTAGAGTTTCCTCTCATAGTTAAGAACGATTCGGAGGTTCATCTCCCAGTCAAGAAAGTTGGTCCCGGATAACTTGTTGTTTTCCAGGATGTAACGCAGGTTGAAAGGGTTGTTGTTGTTTGCCATCTACAGAAAATTTTGCAAACTAGGTTATCTATCATGTTTAATAATTAATTAGGCCTTTAATTAATTATCTCCCACTATTTTTAACAAATCAATAACCCTCGATATTGATTCGGAGATTTCCAGCGAAACCTGTAGTGGGCCAAGATCCATATTTCATTATCTTGCGTTCCGCTTGGGCGTTACTCCACAAGACAACTATTTAGGTAGGAACATATTTCCAACTGATGAGCCGGGCTCTTAGCTCTTGGTCTGGTGTTGGGCGAGCAATATTACTACAACCGGACCAGGACACCTTTTCACCATACTTGTAATTGGCTGAGGCACGTCTTACAAGCAGACTACTTTGGTTAGGAATAGAGTTCCAATTAAATCATAAAGATCCAACTCCTGGCTGGGTGAGTGAGTAAAATCATCCGACTTGTCATTGATGACCCCAACTTACTGCCTCTGAGTCGTCCATCCATTTGACCGAGACTCAGTTAAGTCTAACCCAACGTGCGACAGCGACCACGCTATGGCGGTTCCCGTAACCAGCTTAACATACACCGTACTATGCTCTGAGGCTGAGTACATGACAGTGCACATTAGCTGGATAGGTGTCGGGCGCCAGAAGGCAACAGACTTAATATTCGTGAGGGATTTATAATTTCGATCTCACCTATCGACATGGCCGCGCACATGTCCATTACTAGCGTTCAACATACATTCAACATGCATTCACAAAACGCAGTAAATAAACGTGTAATGATTGTGGCCCCTAAAAGAAAAATAAAACGTTAGCTCCCACTGGCTTCCGGGCACTTGGACTTCGGGCTATCTCCATTCTTTTAGATTTCTTCAAACGGTTTTCAAATCTTTTCGTCTTCTAACCACCACGTGAGAAAAGAATTCTCGGTTGAGGTAAGAGAGAAATAGATTTACAACAAGAGTTTATGAGATAAGGCACGACACGCAGCATATCATATGAACTATAGCCACAATCATCCACCATGCATATCATACATCCACACAAGCAATAGAGATATACATACACCGGGTGAACCGCGCTCACCCCAGACAGTTCTAGAAAAATACTACGGCAGTAAATACTTTCTAAAACTCATAAAATTAAATTAGATGTCCAAATAAATCTAATAAAATTTTATAAAAACCATTTTATGCATTCTGGATATTCTGCCAGCATAAAAAATCCAGAATATTCCAACTGACCAAAATGCCCCTTTTGCAAAATTATTTTCAATAAGGCAATAAAATTTCAAAACAATTTTGAAAAAATAATGAAAATTAAATTTCAACTTCCAATAAGTATTTTCAACATTTATAAACCTGGAAATAAAATTTATAAAAATTATAAATCATTATTTCCAAAATATATTAGTTAAATCTCAATAAGTTATAAAAGGCCATTTAAATTATTTTCAAAAACATTAAATTATAAAAATTTAATATTTTGGAAAACATTCTTTTTCTTACTGAGATATAACTTTACAAAATATATATTAGTCATTTATGTAATTAAAATACAAATATATAAATATATATAATATTTCGGTAATAATACCGAGTACATATATAAATATATAGTTATTTAATTACTAACTAATATTATTTTGTACAATATATTTGTCAACAACCTTATTCAACTTAGAAATAATATTTCTAAGTTTAATAAAGTTCTTTTTGAATTTTCCCATATTTATTTTCGGTTTTCACCTAAATAAATACAATAAATTCAAAATAGGAAATAATACATTCAAAAATTACAATATAATTTTATCAATCATAAAATGATGTTTTATGTCCAAATAAAATTATATTTACTATTTCTACAATATATATAAATATATATTTCGAAAAATCAAAATATATGTATTTATATATATATATTACGGGTAGAAATAAAATAAATAAATTTAAAGTTCATTTTCAATGATTTATTTAAGTCTAATACTTATTCCAAGGCTAAATAAAATCATTTTACCAAATTTTGAATTTTAATAATTACCAAGTTAAAACTTTGACTTTTAAAATTTTAAAAGTCAAACTTAAAACTATAGTTTTGTACGTTGGCTCCGATACCACTGAAAGGTAACCATGCAAGGATAGGCAGCGGAATATAAAAATGTTAACATCCTAACATGATTATTTTTCCCTAAATCACGTACTAAAACATATAGTAGTAAGAAATTTATAACTTTCTCCAGAAGCGATAAAAACAAAGAAGTCGTAGGAAAAGCGTTGAAAGTGCAAAGATAACCGTTCGAGTGTCCGGTCTCCAACTTTGACACACGAACAACGCCAGAGTCTACCACAATCTTTATGCTAGTAAAGATTATATTAGTATAAAATATAAATATTAAAATTGGGATAATAATAATCTTGTATATTTCTATAGAAAATATTTCTAATAATATTTAGAAAATATTATAGATATTTTCTATACACAAAATGATATTAATGGAACACAAAAGAAATTTTCTCTCACTAGAAAATTATGGCCGAAAACCACACTTACATATTCAAAGATGATGATCTTCTCATATATCAATTTTTTTTAAAGTGCCGTGCAATCAATGCAAAGAAGAAAAAAAAATTCCAAAGTGATTAATCAAACTTTGTCATTAAACTAAAGGTTAAAATTAATAAACTATTAATCAAAGATTGATTTTAATCTTTTGAATCCTTATGGCCGAAAGTTTGATTGTGAGAAGGATTTTGAAAATTCTTCTCCACTCAAATGTTCAAAGTGTATTTTATTTGACACCAAAAATTAATATAAAATTAATTTTAAATCAAATAAAAATACCAATATCATTTTTAAACAAGTATACAAATATACTTTAAATAGTTTATGTCAAAATAATGATTTTCATAATTAAAATGACAAATCAAAATAAATATTCAACATATAATATATATATATATATTAATCGGCACATATATAATATATATAACCGAATATTTATATATATATATATATATATATATATATATATATATATTATATTCCAAAATATTTTATTTTACTATTTTTACAAATATACAAATTACTTTTTTTTGAACAAAGCACCAAATTATATTAAACCCAAAGAACAGTTTCCAGTACAACAAAAACGAAACATACAATAACAAGAACCAGCACCTAACACCAGTATACAACGTGAACAACATAGACTAGTTACCCATAATAATATTGAAGTGTTCTTTGATAGTCTTCAGCGTGTCCACCACAGTCATCTCCTTGTTGTGAAGCTTGAAGTTTCTAGCTTTCCAAATGAAGTAACAACAGGTAACAACACAAGCAGCAATAGCCCTCCTATCTCTTCTGTTTCTTCCCTTATTCATTCTCTGTCCTAGCTCAGCAATGGAATTAGCTTCCATGTCATACTGGATAAGCATAGACATATGCTGGAAAATATACTTTGCAAAAGGACAGCTGCAAAAGAGATGGTCAGCAGTCTCATCCATCTTGTTGCATAGGCTACAGATTGTATCAATTGGTAAAAACCTACTTAGCCTGTCCTTAGTAAGTATTCTACCCTTCCAAATCAGCCATGCTATAAATTGATGTTTAGGTATGGAGAATCTATTCCAAACCAGATCAG